CATTGCATTCACTTTTAATACTCTGTAATGTACACTACTTAGTAAGTGCAAAAACTGTGTCTGGTGCTTTGCAAGAGATGAATTTAAAGCCAGCCACGAACAACAAACAAGCAAAAAAAAATGCAAACAAACCAAAGAAAAACAAAACAAAAAACCAACCAACCAACAACAACAACAAAACAAAAAAAACCACCACCCAGTCATGCCCCTCCACACTCAGCTCCTGATCCCTTCCTGCTCCATCCCTCCATCGCACAACTGTGCACGTGCTGCTTCCCATACAGCAACTCCATGAGTCAAAATGGGGGTCTGATGCAGCTCAGGACTAATTATAGTGGATCTGGCTGGGATGGAGTTAACTTTCTTCAGAGCAGCCGGAATGGTGGTATGTTGTGGATATAGGACTAAAACAAGGTTGATAACAGTGTTTTACCTATTGCTGAACAGTGTTTGCACAGCACCAGATCTTTTTCTTTTTTCCCCACTCTGGCCTTCCAGTAAGTGGGGGGGATGTGTGAGAAGCTGGGAAAAGACACAACCAAGGCAGCTGACCAGATGGATATTACATGCCATATGGCATCACATTCAGCAAGAAAAGCTTGGAGATGGAGGAAGAGGCAACATTTGAGGTTATAGTGTTTACCTTCCCAAGTAACCATTGGGCATGATGCCCCACTTACATGGAAAGAGCTAAACATCTGCCCACTGATGGGAAGCAGTAAGCAAATTCCTTATTTTGCTTTGGTCACATATATAGCTCTGCTTCATCTGTTAAACTGTCTCAATCCACAAGTTTTTCTCCCTCTCAGCTTTCTGATTCTCCTCCCTGTCCCACTGGGGGGAAGTGAGTGAGTGGCTGGCTGGGAGTTTTGCTGCTGCCTGAGGTCAATCCCCCACAGTGCCCTAATAAGAAATGGTTGGATTCAGATAAATCAGTCCTTATCCGGATCCAACCTGTCCTGCAGCTGCAAATTCCCTAATGTTTCTGCTACTGCCTTTGCACAAAAGGCAACAGAGGATAAAACAACCAGATTTCTGCCTTTGGCAGCAGCACAAACTTGCAACAAGTTAAAGTGACCGTTAGAGCCTCAGGGTAAGTCAGTGCAGTGGAACATATAGATGCTCACAGCCAACAAGATGGATTCACACAACAAAACAGTCCAGGTATAACACCATAAGCTTCTCCGTGGGATAACTTGTCTCAAATATTGGAATGACTTTAGGAATTCACTTATTCCATTATTCCCAAATTTAATTCTCCATTTCCCTTTAACGAAATGTTTGCGTGGAAAGAAATGCAGATGCAGAATAGTGCTTGCACTCATTGTGTAAACAAGGCTTAACAAGAAACCTTAAGGAGGTAAACAGTAGGACAAGGCACGTGATAGTGTGCCACATACTCTACACATAGGAAACAGCAAACAAACAAATGAACAAACAAACACATGAAAGAAAGATTCTTTAGGAAAGGGTTTGTTAGTCAACCCATACCTAAATGTTGAATACTACACACATTCAGTTATTATATTGCATCCAAAATTCACCCTTTTGTTTAAGTATCCTGAAGAAATGTGCAGTCAATGACCAACGAGTTAATTAGCTGAGTTGAGGATTAGCTGAATGAATGTTACATGACTTGGTTCCAAATGTACAGTCACAATTATTCACCATGAACCCTGAGATAATAAGCAATTCTCAGATTTGCTAGGTTTAGGCAGGACTGGCTTAGTTTTACACACACTGCATTCCCAGCCCAAGAAAGATTGCAGCCAGTCAGGACTGGGCCATCCTGGGTTCTCTCAACCTTCTTAAACTGTGTTCGGCACTGACCCTGTCAGACATTGTACTGGAAGCAGCTACAGCACCAGCTATTTCAGCACCATGTCTCAAACAACTGCATGAGATAAAACACAGCACAAAAGAGTTAGGGAGCCAGCTCAGTACCAGCAGTGGCCTGTGTGTCCCATTAGCAGGCAGAGCACTGGGAAAGAGCATCACCAGGGCACTGAAGGAGGTTTACACCAGGCATCACTGTAGCCAGACACTTTACACTGTATCCTTGGAATAGGCCAGGTTATCTAGGATTTTCCTAGATACCACTGTCACACAGTGGGCTGAGCTGTATTTGTGAATGTAGCAGAGCACACAGAAAAATATGAAAAAGCACAGATTTGGAATGTGTATAAATTCTGTCAGTCACGTGCTGTGACTTTTGAAGCACAAAAATGTAGCTCTGTGACCAAAGCTGTGGCCATTACTGCAATAAGGGTTACTTTTTGAGTTACATGAGCCACATGGGGAAAAAAATTAAGATAACTGATTAACATTTGAGACACAGATAATACTCTTTAATTTATTCTGGGACTACAGTCAGGTCTAAGAATAAGTCTATGTAAACAGTGCTGGGTGTCTACAACATGCAAGACATTAAAAGACACATATCAGTTATTAGCATAAGGCTTGTCTTCATGCAAACTAGCAAAAAAAAAAGAAGAAATCACACAAGGAAACACTATAGATTTTGAGTATCTATGATATTTGGCAAGCAAAAAAATAGCAAAACACTATATCTGTGTTAAAAAATAAAATATGTTCCATCACCTGTAATTGTCTCTTAAAGGGAAAACAAAACTTCTTAGGTAAAAGACCCTTTTCTTTTCTGTTCTCTTTCCTGAACAGATGTTCAAAAATAAACTACACATTAAACACATTGATACACAATCAATTAATATACACTCAACCTTTATGGTTAGGCATCAACAACGCTTTGTAAAACTAAAGAGAAATCAAAGTACTTAAATTAGCATAGATCATAAACTGAACTACATGCTGCAGCCCAACCCACCTCCTGAGAGATTTTATGGCAGATGCATAACATACTCAAAATATAATTACTAGTAACAAGTGCATTGTTGTTGCTTTACGAAAAAGAGCTATCATCTTTGAAATCAGTTTTCTTCCCAAACTCTACCACACAAAGTCCTCCCCATGCATCTACCACTCAATTTATGGTTTCAATCAGCTCTCTTGCTGCATATATTCTTTCAGCAAATTAACTATTATGACTGCAACCTTTGTCCAGTTTGTTCATCACAGGAAGAGCCCCTCTGGTTATTGACATGCATAGTGAACTTACTCAGGATCATGAGGTGGGCCGGTCTCCACAGCAGTGTCATAAAGCAGTTTAAGTTTATTTATTTGACAGTAATGGTTGATCTTCTCCATACATTCAAGATCCATTTTGGCGCAATCTCAAATAGATTCTGCAAAGTAACAATCAAAGATTTGTCTGTGTCTCTAGGCATAGAATAGAGACAGCCCCTACTCCTGGTAGATCACTGCTGTGATGTAAAATAGAAAACTGGTGCCAGTAACAAAGTTCATAGAAAATTAATTCGAATGTCTAATTCAAATGGTTAATCTGCCACAGTTTTTGAAGAGTCATTGCTTGGAATAACAATTTTAGAAAGCAGAGCGGAGAACTTAGTGATTAGAGAAGATTTCTTCGCAGATATCTTGACAGGAAAAGACAGAAACATTCACTGAATTCTGTGGGGGTAGAATAATCAGTTACGTTTCTCCAGAATTAGAATCGCTTCCTTGAGAGGGGAGCCTAGAGGCACTTGAACATACCTCTTCAAACCGCGATGACGGGCAGGCTCAGCCTCACCGTCCAAAGCTGAACTCTGGCTCCCGCCCGCCGAGCGCCTCGGGCCAGCGCCGCTCCCGCCGGGGTGCAGGCAGCCCCGCTCGGTGGGACCCGCCGGATCCCCTGCCCGCCCTCCCCGCCGTTTACCTGCGAGCCGCAGCAGAAGCTCCAGGACCCGCAGCTCCAGCAGCCGGAGCGGTGCAGCCCAGCCTGGCGCCGCACGAAGTTTCGTTTCCCGCAGCACCGCCCGCTCTGGTGGAAGCGAAACCGAAAGGGCGGGCGAGTCCCGCAAGGAGCGGGGCGGCTCCTTCCCGAGGCCGCGGGAAGCCGCGCTCTGCCCCCGCCTCACGGAGCGGAGCCTCCGCCGGCTTCGCTCTGCCCGGCGCTCCTGAGCCACCGGGGAACGAGGGCAGCAAGGAGAGCGAGCTGCTTCGCAAAGATGTGTCACTCACCGTGCTAGGACCCGCCGGCCTTCTTCCCCGACTAGCTGCTGCCTTTTTCTGCTGCAGCAACCACATACTATAGCTCAGCAACACGGACAGCAGGGAGCAGTGGCGCACCCAGCTTCTCCCAAATACATCCAAGTATGTTTTCTTAGTGGTCCTTTTCCTTCTCTGACTAGCCGATTAAAGCTTATATTCCTGTATTGGGTCTGACTGAGCTGAAGCTTATTTTCCGACAATCCCTTACAAAGTGTCACAGACTTAACGACAGATTCAGATGTTCTTGGGGTTCATATCAGTATCCCACTGCTCTGCAATACTGCAACAGCCTCAGCAGATTCCCAGAGAAATAAAATCCAAACCATAGTTATGGCACATAAAAAGTATTGCCCTTTATAAATTTTGATTTTTCAATTCAGCTGTTATGTTTTTGGTTCAGTGTTATTTTAGGTATCTTATTTTTTACACCATTCCATTTTTCCACAATAATTTTAAGTTTTTCCTTAGCCCTTAAACACTTTTTCTAACCAAATCTACATCTGGCATACTTCTTGAATGAGGTGATCAGTAAGCATGAGTTACTCCAAATTAAGCTGTATCACTAATGTAAATTAAGAAAGAAAAAATTAAAAATATTTTTTTACATGGTACATCACCACACTGATAAGAGATGATTTTAAACAGGTAATTTTCCACTTTATAAAGATGACACCAAAGTGGACATATGGAATTTAGAAATATTAAAAAGCAGGGAAAAAATAGTGTAACAAGCATTTTTTCTTTCAGCCTGGATTGTCTGCATTTATCCAAACTGCATGTTGTTAGTCAATCCACTCAGCCTGCTCAGATTTTCTCACACAGTTCTATTTTGATTTAAGTCAACAGACAACTTCCTCCAATGAGAGCAGTTTCTCATTTCTCATTTTTTAATGCTTCATTTGTTAATAAAATTTCCCAGTCTGATCATTCATGAGACTCACTGGCGGTCACTCTTACAAGAACCAGAGACTTTCACTGCTGGAACCAAAGGCCCTTCACAGTGAGTGGCTCCAAAGAGCTGATGGGCATCCCACTTGACTCCCTACACGCCTCACTCACCCCACTCACACACAGACAGACCATATTTCCTTACCAGTTCAACTCAAAGTTTCCCTCAGCAGAGTCTAAGACGTTCCACAAGGCAATTTATTCCTGGCACAGTAACACAACAACAACTCAAGACGGTTCCTCCAAGAACAAGCCCTGAGCCTAGAACACCTGGGCTTTTTTTATACCCTCACAGTCTCTCCCACACACCACTCTGGCTCTTCCTTCTCTGTCTTCTCCTCCTGCCTCCCATCTCCATGTCCATCCACCTCGCTGGCATCACCTGTCTTCATCTCCTTTGTTATCAAAATGCTGACAAAGCCTTCTTCGTGTCCTTTGTTATCCCAAACATTGGCAGTTCACGGCCTCATCTTGTGCTCCCACTCAGAGCCCAGTTTGTATTTCAACTTGCAGCTTGCAGGCTGAGCCACTTGGATGTCAAGTATTCCTCAATACATTAAACTTGAAACATGTTATGGGTATCACTAAACATTAAGGCACTTCATAGTAAAATTCTTACTGGGATAAAGGAAAAAAAATCAGCCACCAAATTAATAATATATTCTGTGGAAGTTGGAAAGAAAAATATGCAAGATTACTTTCCAGAGGCAAGATCTAAAGTATGGAGCAAATACATTTCACTGTGTACACACAGCACCTGCTCCTGACCACCCAGATACAAAACCTATGGAACTGTGCTTTGATTCCCACCCATCTGCAAGGTCTCTCTCCAGCAGAAACCAAACAACCATAGAGGAGAGAGGGAAAACAGCAGTAAGCCTTAGGTCTTCCTCAGTATAAGGAAATGACTTGGGCACCCAGGAAGTACACCTGCTCTCTCATAGTGCTCACAAAACTAACAAGGAACCCATTCAGACACCAGTGGGGATGCAGAAAAAAGGATCAGAGAGTTCCAAACACAGAACTTCAAAGTATAATCATCCTGTAGGGGAAGAAAGAAAAAAAGGACAAACCACGATATGAGTCACATAATTCACAACTTATTATTTCTGCATGTATGGACAAAACTGGTTTCCTTTGAAACTATTTATGATGTTGTTCTTTGTTAAAAGCCATCTAGAGTAATTCCATTGATTCTATGTATGGAGCTTGTTTAAGGATACCAAAATGGCATTCTTACATTATCACTTCTAGAACATGCAGTACACCTTGTATTTCAGCTTGTCTCCTACTTAGGTTTCCAATAACTGTTGTTTTCCTGGCTCTGAGCTTCTGTGAGGCATTTCCAGACTCTAGCAAGCCTGCAGAAAGAACAATGAGAAAGTAATGCACTTGCTGATAGATAGAGCTGTCATTAGTGGGCTTATTTGCTAACCATGGGGGTTCAAATAAATACAGCATGGCAAACAGCTGGCTGAAGTTCAGCAACCTTGTAGAGACTTTTCCAAGCATACACAAAAGGACATTTCACAGTTACGGTCCTACTCTGAAGCAAACAAAGGTTTTCTATGCACTGTCAGTTGATGAGAAAACTGAAAATAAAAAAGTTTAAAATACAACTATAATTCATGGTTTAACTGTTTCAATTCCATAACTGAAACCTTCTAATCAAATATATACCTTATAAAATCCTTTAAGACATTTATTTTCCAATTATGACCTCTTTGACCAACACTCAAAGAAAGCACAAACATTAATTTTATGGAAATGTACCTTTTCCCAAAGGTGCACGTAGGATCCACTGCTCACTGACTGCAATGCAGGGCTTTCTGAAAAAAATGCCATCTTCTTAAGTAGAGAGAATCCTAGAAATTCAGCTATTGTTAACCAGTTTTCTGTGTAAATTCTGAAAAAGTTGTTGGATTAAGCTATAAACTGACCAGAGCGGTTACATTTTTATTTAAGAGTTTTTAAAGGCCTTTTGGTTCATTATAACCTCTAATTAGCATCCAGAGAAAGAGTCATACACTCTTCTCTGAGAGAAATTCTTTTTAATTTAGTGAGAAAAATAGGATATTTGGCAAAAGGTTTTTACAGGAGTAAAATACAACCAAGAAAAAAAGTATATCACTAAAACATTCAGCACAAAGACCCATTCCACAGAAAACACCCACTAAACAATCCATTCAACAGCTTTAGTAAAATGCAGTTCATTGGTTTTAAGTTACCCACAAGAGAAGGAAAAGAGTAAAACAAAACAGATTAGAAGGAATAAATAAAGAAAGATGGAAAGAAAGGAGAGAGAGAAAGGAATGGAGAATAGTTTCTGACAAAATTCAATGATTCACGTGGTGCCAACTGGAGAGGGAGGGGAGAGAAGGAGAAGAAGAGGAAAGAAATTGTTACCAACTTACATGGTTCAGGCTGCAGAAAAGACCAGAGGGAGGGAGGAAGAGACCATATGGAGTATTTATAGAGTTTAGTTTTCCCTCCCAGGCAGGATATCCAGTCAGTGCCTTCCAGGCTAGAGTGAGTTTTGCTGTGGCCAGTCACAGGCTGCAGGGGTGTAGTGTGGACAGGCTACCAGTCAGGTCTGCCTTGACTGACAGCCCGACTGCAGGGCCTTCAGTGATGCCGTGTGCTCTGCATGGGCTGCAGGCCTTGCCTTCCAGCTTTGCCTTGTACCCTCAGCACAGGCCTTACCAGGGATCTGCAGGTCCAGGCCCAGCCCTTCCCCACATGCACACACACACTCACAGTGAGTTGGTTCTGACCCATATCAATAATTCAGTGAGATTCGGATCCAGGATCTCACAACAGTGATTCAGTAAAGGCACACGAAATCCACAGGCCTAACACCTTTTCCATTTTATCAAGTGAAAGTAGCAGATTTTATTAAAGTCAACTAGAGAAATTTTATTAAAATTCCTCCTATTGCCTTAACTACAGAATCCTTAGCCATCTCTATTTCTTCTCAGAATCCTCCTCTCTCCTTAAAGGCTTGCCTTCTGTAATTCTAATTGTCATATACCAAGCTCTAAAGAACAGTTTATTTTGGCCTTGTGTGTGACTCAACATCTTTTATCAGAAAAAGGGATTACTATCCAAGGTGCAGTTTGCAGAACTGAAACTGATCTAAAGGTGAACTTCCAGTTTCTCTGGTAAGAAACAAAGTTTCCTCCAGCTTTGCTAATTGCAGTTAGTTATTAATGCCTAATCAACATCAGCAGTATTACATATCAATCAAATTAACAAAATTTGCTTGCTGGCTGATAAAAATTTTATCAATTTATCAATGTTTATCAAAACATTGTCAAAGAACAATTGGAATATTACTTGAGCAATCGAGCCTGCTGTTAAACGATCTATTCTGGAACAGCATTTGGTACATACACTTAAAAAACTTCCTATCAAACCATTCAGGCCTTCATCTGAATGCCTTTCCGATTCATTTGCTTTAGAAAATATTGACTTTTGGAACTTCAAATATTTTATTATCATGCCAGTTCCCCAAATAGTGGAGTTACTGACTTTGGCTTTATCACGAACATTTGTTCATGGATAATTCAATTCCGGTGCTGCGGTTTGCTTTGCCTGCAGGTGACTCTGCGGGACAACGCGCTCCAGAAGGCAACAGGGAAGCCGAGAAAGGCGAAATGAATCGAATCTCTCACGTGTGTCCTCCTTCTCCCTCGTGCAGCTCCCCGTTCACCAACGCCCGTGCACGGAATGCTCCGAAGCGCAAACCTACAGACTTCGGCATCTTTGGGCGCCACGCGCCAGCGACACCGTGTAGAGACCTCGCTGGTGACCTTTTATAAGGCTGGTAACAGGCTTCTCCAGCGACAGCAGCCGCGGGTATGACACCAGGGAGGCCGCTATCTCCGGGGCTGGCACAGGGAGCGGAGCTGCCGCCAACGGCCGGCAACAGGCAAGGAACGGGAGCGAGAGCCGCCGCGCGGTCCTTCCCCGGTGGAAGCGCCGCGGGAGGAATCCTTTCACGGCAAAGCTGTTCCCTGGCAGCATTTCAACAGGTATTTTCCAATCAGATGCTAGCTGTCCGTTGTCTCACCTAGAGAGCATTCCTAAACAGAGGAAAAAAATTACCAAACAAAACACCAAAACACCAAACCACACACCAAAAATCCCACGGCGTGGCACCACTCCCCGCCACATCCGCGACAGCGGTACCGACGCGTCCCGCACGGCTGCTCACCCCTCCCTCCTTCCTTTCTTTCTTTTCTACTCCCTCCTCAGGCAGGTGCAGTCTAATCCCGGGCTCAGCCGCCGCCCCACCACGGCTCCCTTTCTCTCTGCACTCTGCTGCAGCTCCCAGGGCACCGGAGCTCCCGCAGGCTTTTCTTCCCCGCCCAAGCCCCGCACAAGCTCTCGGGATCTGGGCGGGGTCTCCTCACAGCCCATTCCAGGGCCTGGCGTAAGTTCAACCCTTATTTCCTGGCGGGGAGGGCCGAGCTCCCTCCGCCGCCCAGCGGGGAACGCGCTCCCCTCCCGCACCGCCCCTCGGGCCTGACGCGAGGGGCGGGCCCGGGGCGGGTCCGGGAGGCCCGGGGCGGGTCCGGGAGGCCCGGGGCGGGTCCGGGAGGCCCGGGGCGGGTCCGGGAGGCCCGGGGCGGGTCCGGGAGGCCCCGGGCGGCCCCGCCGTGCTGTGCCCGGCACGGGCGGCTGTGCCGGCGGCTCGGGGCGCTCCCCTCCGCTATTCCAGCGGGGCGGCTCGCGCGGGAGGCGGCGCCATGGGGCTGCACGGCGTCAAGGCGGTGTTCTTCGACCTGGACAACACGCTGGTGGACACGGCGGCGGCCGGGCGCCGCGCCATCGAGGAGGTACTGCCCCTGTCCCCTTCCCGGCGCTAAGTCCGCGGCCACCGGCCTTCCCGGCCCGGCTCTTCCCGGCCCGGCGGCCGCGGGGCCGCGAGTGTCGCGCTCCCCTCCCCTGCCCACATGCAGCTGGGGGCCGCTCCCGGGAGCGCCCTGACGCGCGGCCCCGTGTCCCTTGCAGGTGATCAGCGCCCTGCAGTCCAAGCACCACTACGGCGAGGGAGAGGCACGCGCCATCTGCGACAAGGTCCAGGCCAAGCTTCTCAAGGAGTGCCACGATCCCGCCAAGATGTGCATCACCGACCTGCGGATCTCGCACTGGGAGGAGGCGATCCAGGAGACCATCGGGGGGGAGGCGAACCGCGACCTGGCGGCCGAGTGCTATTACCTGTGGAAGACGACGCGGCTGCAGCACCTGACGCTGGCCGAGGACACGCGGGGGATGCTCACGGAGCTGCGGAAGAGGGTTCGCCTGCTGCTCCTCACGAACGGCGACAGGCAGACGCAGAGGGAGAAGATCGAGGCGTGCGCCTGCCAGCCCTACTTCGATGCTATCGTCGTAGGGGGAGAGCAGAAAGAAGAGAAACCGGCGCCATCCATATTTCATTACTGCTGCGATCTCCTGGGGGTGCAGCCCGCAGAGTGTGTGATGGTTGGTGACTCTCTAGATACAGATATTCAAGGAGGCCTGAATGCTGGCTTGAAAGCAACGGTCTGGTTAAACAAAGCAATGACCACCCCGGTAGATACCTCCCCAGTACCTCATTATATTATTTCTTCTGTTCTGGATCTTCCAGCAGTTTTACAGAAGATGGAGCACAACATTAATGCTAAGTTAGGAACTGACCATATGGCTAGTAGCAATGAAGCACATTGATGGTTCCAGCATACAGAGACCTGCTGAGCTGTTAGGTGACACATGCTCTTTTAAAAAATTTGACCCCGGGAGTTTGAACTCATGTACGGAATGCTCTTTTAAACAGCAGATGCATGAATAAGAGCACAGTTGTCAGTGAAAACAGGATAGAAACACAAAATTATATTAGTTTTAAAAGATGTAAGTGCAGTTAGTTTAAAACAACTGCCTCTGCCTGGAAATTATTTTGACAGACTGTGGTAAAAGTCTATCTGTCTCTCACCTAAGTTACCAGTCTCTTGTTTTTATAATGGAAAAGGAAATATGAATGTTTTGAGCTTTCACATGCTTTGCTGACTTGTGAGTTTAGTAGATGCTTCAGTACCGACCTTGTGTGCAGTGTGTAAGAGAAGGTGGGAAAGAGAGTGTGGTACAATCTGGTGAATTTTCACAATTGATCTGCAGTTTATCTCAGGAACTGGAGTGAATTTTGCTGTTTCTCAGACCATTAGAAAATGCTCTACTTTTGATTTTTTTCAAGTTTTAGATTTTTTTTTCAGACTTTGCAGTGACTTCGTTTATGGAATCAGTACCTCTTGCTATAAGTACTTAAATGTACATTAAAAATTGGCATTTTTATAGGGGACCTTTTATCAGAAGGACTCGATGGATAAGCTTTTACTTTATATTATCTTGGTGCTTATGCAGCTATGCAGTATACTTGTGATTCAGATTATGATTTTTGTTGGAATGTAATTGATAAAACAGGGATATTTTCAATGATCTTACTGTACTGTCATACTCTTCAAATGCTAATATTATTGTTCTGTCTGATTTTATTAATGAATTTTGATCAGACTTTTTGGAGAAGCTGTTCTTGGTCTTGCTCAGGTGTATGACTACTCAGATTCCACTGTAGGATCAGTGCTTTTTTTGGACTGTTTTAATGGCACTGCTATATAATCCCTCCTTACTCCAGTTTCTACATGTAATTCGTGTGATTTATTCTGGAGAAAATACGAGCTAGTTGTTTATAAATGGCTTTCATGACTCTCTTCCAAGAAATTGGAAAATTATGTCATATATATTACAGTACTGTGTACAACTTTATAAGGTATGTGTGATATTTCCTCTAGATGCAGGAGATGACTCTCTAAAACAGTAACATTTCTCTTTCCCAGATCATTATATTAATTTGTTTTTTCTGTACTTCATATTCTTACTATATAACGGGAAAGTATTCTCATATTAAATGGAAATGTAAACACTTGTTGGAAAATCTGTGTTTTTCAGCCCTGTTTGCTATATATACATTGGGATAAATATCAGACTATATATGAACAATCAAATTTTGTATTTTAAAATAAATCCATGTTAAATCTTTTGAAAACAGATATATTTGGATGCTGGCAGAAGAATGTCTGGCATATGGGCAGCAATAAAAGATCAGCAAAAAAATACAGAAACCTACCATGAAATGGGTGTGCAGAAGAAATCCTATATGAGAGAGGTTCCTCCTTTTAACTTGACATGAATTTAAGTTAATGCAGTTAAGTCTTTCATAGAATGACAGAGTCATCAGGATGGGATGTTACATCATGAGGGTGTTACTGGTCTGGGTTAAATTATTTGACAAGGAGTTTAAGTTCCATCAACTTATATTGCTCCTACACTGGTGGGGGGGAGGGGAAGAAAAGGAAATACTTATTAAAGCTGGAACCCCTTTCATCCAATTGTCCCTTAAAAAAGATAAAGCAGTCCGGGTTCTTCACCCTATCTAGCCAAGACTGTTGAGACATCAGGATCAATGAAGAGCACAGAGACAGGCCCCGCTTATTCCTCTGAGGAAATGGGGGGCACATGCTGAAAATGATCCCATTACAGTGGTACAATAACAAGACTCAGTGGGACTGACTTGACACACCTTTCTTACTGTAGGAAAAGACCTAAGTTAATATTTTATTTTGCATTTGAGGAGCATGAAAACAGCCACTGGTTTAGGTGATGAGCAAAGCAATGCTAATAAGATTTCTTTCAACTGAGGATTGACAGAAAAATTATTGTCATTGAGCCTATGAGAGATACCATGTAAAAATAGAAATGTATCCAAAAGGTTACACGATCCCTGAAGTAATGTAATCATACTATCTGAAACAAAAGCAACAACGTTGCTTGTAACAGCATCCCAAAGGAGCTGCAGGGTAACTAACTTTACCTTGTTTGCACAGCAGCAAGATAGTAGAACTTAGGCCAGAATGAGGTTTCTGATACAGCTGATATTTAGAACAGCAAATTGAAATAATTCACAAGTCTATCTGTGGGCTTGAAAGATATATATACACCAGGTTACCATTTTTTAATCTAAGTTGAGTCTTATATTGTCTTGCCACTGCATCATTCTGAAGTGGCACACTGAGCCTGTTTATTGTATAAAGGGTCTCTTGTTTTAGAAGAGACTGGTCTTTGTTTTGCTGTGGCCAGCTGTTTTCTTACATTTCCGACTCTATAGAAAACCACTGTAACTGAATGCTCAGGTGACAGTGTGGTCTGTAGAGGCCACACCCAAGTATGTTTTTCCATTTCTGAGTACTGTACCAGGATGTGGCTGGTGTCCAAGTAGGTAAAGAGTGTTATGATGCTTCTATAAAACAAGAAGAAACGATAGAAGAGTTTTCTCTATCTAGGAGTCTTTTTAGAAGCAGTTACCCAATAAGCTGGATTAGTTGTCTGGAGTATCTCTAAATGTTTTTCTTGGATGGAGCTCTTTCAGAGAGCACAATGAAAAATAATTGTATTTAATGAAATGAAAGCATAAATGTAGTGATGGGATAATTTTCACATCAGAAGCAGGAACAGATCAGTAAAACAGTTTATTAACAGTTCCAGTTAAGTTCTGGTTTTGCTTAGTATTATGCTCTATTAGCTAAGTTGTCTAGTTTAAATTATATAGCCAAAACATGCTTAATAAAAAGAGGAAAAAGCAAGTCTACTTATATTTAAAAAAAAAAAAAATTTCCAGATAAATATTACCTCCTGAGTAATCTACAGTAACTTTGACTTTAGTGAAATGAACTGAAACAGTAGTATAATACAACTGTATTTTAATTCTTGATTTAAAATAACCCATGTACTAGTCTAATAAAAGTATTTTATTTATAAAACATATGTTTTAATGTTCTGTATTGCTGTGGAGAAATACTTTTGAGACCCAGTTTACAATAAAAGGCAAGAGTTTTGTTTCTTTTTAAAAATAGCACAGAATTAGGCTTTAAAATCCATGAATTCACATTTAAATGTGGTGACTGGGTATAGTTTCCATAATTTTAAACAGAGCCTGGAATGTAATTATGTCTTTATGAAGATTCTTGGACTGATTGTGTGTGTTGAATTGCTAACTGCAGTTCTTTGCTAGTTGAACTTGACTTACCAAGCTGAATGCCAGCTCAGATAAGCCCGTGTGTCCTGATGTCGTGGCACTGGCTGCTGCAGCAGCATAAAGACAGGCTGCAAAGCAGAGAAAACAAATAGAGAAATCTCAAGTCCAGGGCACCCATTCCAGCAGGTTATGGGTGCACAAAGCCGTATCTGAGCTATTGCTACACTGACTTCTATGTGACTTAGGAGAGGGGAGAGTGGGAGGTTGCTCACTTTGTGACTTTCTCAGCTGCAGAAAAGCAAGCTTTGCCCTGGCAGTTTTCCATTGGGTAGTGGAACAAAGTCTCCATCTTCTGGACCTGTGGAGACAGACGGGGAGAGGTAAGGAAGTACTTAAAAGTACTGTAGATGAGGATAGGGCATTAAACTGAGTAAAGGGGGGCTCAGCCTCTATCATGGGCTCTTGGCCGTGCCAACCAGCTGTCTGAAGTATCACAGACCTGCACAGCACAGGATTTCTGCTCTTGTTGAGAAAGCTTTGTATATGTAAGGCATTAAGCTGGACAGTGAAAGCCTCAGAAATGAGGATGTTTTCTTACGCACTTGAAAACTTTAACAAAAAGTTAGGGATCTTGGAAGGTGACCTGGATGTTTTATACAGGAAATAAGTAGCTTTCATTAGAATACTAAGTTAATGCAAAGAGATAAGATGTTTGGATGGGGTAAAAGGTAAGGGGTTTTGTATTTCCTGAACTACAGACAATGGACAACTTGCCACACCCCCTCTAACCTGAACCAGTTCTACTTGCCTTTTCCTCTGAAGCTTTTGTGACATGACAACACCAGTAATAGGGCTTTGAACTAAATTGAAGTAGTCTGATCCATCATAGCAATTTCTTCTGTTCAGATATGTAGTGACTAGTTTTTCAGCTTTGGCTCTAAAATGTGCCAGGTTATCATGAGGCCTTTAAAGAAAATTTAAAATCCTACCTTAATTCTATACTAACAAAACTCATCATCTGGAAATCATTTGAACACGTTGAGAAGCACAACAAATAGAAAGGCAATGTATCTCTGCTGTATGTAGCTGTATACAGTTCTTTTGTGCACAGCTTGTACTATCAGCCTTGCAGTGGGATTGTCTCCATTATGACCCGCTTTCTAGATCACGCTGTGCACATACAAGAGACACAACAATGTAGAGATGATGTCAGCTGTGCCTACAGCAAAAACTGCAACTTTTTGCCTATGTTGCAAGGGACCTAGACACAGAGAATCACATCGCCTGCTCCATATAGCATATTTTGACCTTTTATTTCTTCTACTAAAAACAAGGTTGCGTGAGAGGCTTCTGTTGAACAGCCCTCAAATGCCAGAAAAAAATGCACTTAAAAAATATGAAACTAAATTATGATGCTAATGTGGGAAATTTCAGTACTTTAAAAGTGCAAACCATGTTTCTCAAGTCAACACTTCACCAAAGACTAGATAATAGCATCTCATAGGGTCTAATTTAACATAAGAAGTTGTTGCCATTTACATCAGTGGACCTTCACAAGTTTAAGTAAGATTTGTATGCTCATTTCTGTAAGATCATCTGCAAGTGACTTCTACCTTCCACTTCTCCCTCAGCTAATTGATCTCCATCATCTATTTCATTGCTTGTGTTTCCATATCTTTCTGAATCACAACGGTATCTAGCATTTGGGATGAAATTTGCAGAGCACTGCAATGAAAACCACTTGCAACTTTTGTTGCAAGATCATGTTAAGTGCATACATTTAGTACCAGCTTTGCAGCAGTTGTGTGCTGCAAGCATGTATTTGTTTTAAATGGTCTTTCCTCCAAAGAAACTTACTTTCGTATCACAGAGACTAGGCAAATTTGTCATTAAAAAGAAAAAAAGTAAAAATGTTTGAATTAAAAAAAAAAAAAAGAAAAAAGGAAAAACGAGCCTCCAAACAAAATCCTCTGTTAGTCACCTATAGATATTAAGGTTTAAAAGGCAAGTTTCAAATACTAAATCTAAGATACTTCTCTCTAAGTTTCAAAATCAGTGTTGATGATCAGTTAACGTAAGAAGTGACTGTTGTGAGGAGAACAAAACAGTATTCATCATTTTACCAGTTTCCCAGTGTCTGTTCAGTCTGTGACTGGCCATCATAATTTATATTCAAAAATATATTCAAATTATAATTATATTCAAAATTATAATAAAAAATAATACTGTCACATTGGGAAAATCCAACTTATTCATATTTTGGAAATAACATTACTAGACAACGTGGAAGAAACTACATGTGTTAGCTTCAACTACATTTTAATATACATTTTATTCAAAGTATTTAATCTGTGAATACACGTCTTTGTTAGGTGCGTTTTGTATTTTGCACTGGAAATCAAAGAATGATTTAGCTTGGAAAAGACTTCTGAAATTGTAGAATCCAACCTATGACTGAACACCACCACGTCAACTAGACTATGGCACTGAGTGCCACAACCGGTCTTTCCTTAAACACCTCCAGGGATGGTAACTCCTCCACCTGGAACAAAATACAGGGCCAGTGAGTTACAGAGGTGTATCTGAGCATTTATGACTGTGGTAATCTAAGATCTATGTTTTAGATCAAGAAATTAGGAAACTTTCATACTTTTCAGTGATTTTAGTAACTTAGAATTCTAGTAACTTAGAATAGTTATGGCTTTTTTTTCCCAGGGAAACTAAGATGGAAACTGTGAAGATGAAGTGGAAAGTATTTCAACATATTATATTTTCCAGTCAAAATCCAATTCTTATTTTGATGCCTTAGAATTTTTAGGATTTTTAACTTTTTGTAGATTTTAATGTAGCTGTGCAGTAAACATGGATTTTTAGTATAGCTGTGTAGTTTCTCACACTTTAGA